TATCCATCTATCATTTATCTATCATCTATGTATCTATCAATCTATGTATCATCTATCATCTATCATCTATCTCTATCCATCCATATCTATCATCTATCATTTCTCTATCTACCATCTATTCATGTATGTATGCATCTATCAATCATCTATCTATCTCTATCTACCCCTATCTATCATCTATCATTTCTCTATCATCTATATCATCTATGTATGTATGTATTTATCACCTATGTATCATATCATCTATCAATCATCTATCAATCTATCCATCTATGTATCATCAATCATATCTATCTATCTATCTATCTATCTATCTATCTATCTATCTATCTATCTATCTATCTATCTATCATCTATGTATCATCTATCTATCATTATATACCTCATCTATCTATCATCTATCCTTCATCCAGCCATCCATCCATTTCAGACAAATAACTGTCCAGTCTCTTCTTAAAAACCTCCACTCCGGAGCATTTACAACTTCTGTGGCAAGTAGTTCCACCGGTTAATTCTTCTAACTGTTAGGAAGCCCCTTCTTAGTTCTAGGCTGCTTCTCTCCTGGGTTAGTTTCCACCCGTTGCTTCCTGTCCTGGTGCTCTGGAGAGGGGATCAAACTTACTGGTTTTGAGCCGCGTAGATGCTGGCCAGCTTCAGGGACATCTGGAGGATTGCATTGTCATCCTGGAAGATAAGAGGGGTGGGGTGGGTGGGGGGAAAAGGGTGTGTGTGTGTGGGGTGATGTATAAGGCATCAACTTCCTAAGCACGATGACTCAACTGGGCATGGTGGGGAATTCTGGGAGTTGTAGTCCACAAGTCTTATAGTGGCCATGTTTGCAGACCTCCCCGGTCTAGAGGTAGGCGATACAAAACCGCAGGTTCCTAACCAAGAAACGCACTTACTTGCTTTACGTCCCCGGCGAGCATGTAGCTCATGGTGGCTTTGAAAAGCTTCTCAGCCTGGAAGGAGAAAAGAGGAAGGCGGGAGTGGAGGTGCTTGGAGGTCACAAGGGGCTTAAGGAAAGGGGCTCGCCGTAGCCACACCCAAGGCCCCACCCACAAGGAAATGGGGGTCCCCTTCCAATTATTTCCTTACCTTCTCCAGCTCTCCCCTCAGGAAGGCCAAGTTTGCCATCTGGAAGACACCAAGGAAATGGGGATGTTTTGCCTTTTTTTTTTTGCTGCTCCTTAGCAGAGAACTTTTGTGTCACTGATTTCTATTTCAGTATGATAGATAGATAGATAGATAGATAGATAGATAGATAGATAGATAGATAGA